AAAAGGAAATCTAAAACGGTGTGTTCTCTTTGCCATTTTCGGGTTGTTTCCTGTTTGCGATTTTTCAAAATAGTGAAAACGCATTCTCTTTCCCGTTTTCGAAAACGAAAGAAAAAATTTGTGAAGAAAACACAAAATGCTATTTTTGTCGTTTTGGGCATTTTCAATACAAAACTTGAAAAAACTGAAAACACGGGAAACAGTTCCATTTAGTCCAAAATTCTTCCTCTTTCTTAAGCTAACAATCCATCGCCTCCTTCCATCAATAACAACCACCACCCGCCACCTAAGCCGTTGGACCCACAGACCACCAACACCTCCTCACTCCCTCTACAACCTCCGGCCATCGTCTGCCCACCAGATAGTTGGAAACAGCACCAATTCCCATCCAAAATCGGGAGCACATTTGCTATTTTTTCCCCAATTACTTCCACATCCGTCCACCTTCTCGATCGTAGAGCACCACCATCAGGGGCGGACCCAGAGGCTTCGAACTGTGGGGTAAAAAATGAAGGCTTCGCCCTTCTCGGCTGCGCCGCTGCTGTTTGGGAAGAAATTGTTAGATATTTTTCATTATTTTGCATGTATTTATTTTTTTGTTTTGCGAATGATTTGTCGCCCCAACTAGTGTTTGTTGTGGCGCAACGGGGATCGACCTGTTTTATTTTCAAAAGTTTTTGAATAGGTGTATCTGTTCGTTTTGACTGCTACTTCCAACATATATGTTCTTCATTTCAAGGGACACACCTATTCAAACGGTTGCCTCAAATTCTATAAATTCTGAGCGAATTCTCGTTTGCAAAACACATTAAAAAATATTCTTCTCTTTTTCTCTTGGCATCATCAGTTCTTTTTCGAGTGTCTTCTTGGTTTGATCAAATAGTCACAATTTGAATCAAACGCCTCCATTGTATTCTAAGAGAGATTTTCTATCATACTCCAGTCGTGACTTCGTTGGATAGGGAAGAAACATCTCTTAAAAGATAACGTTTTTTGTGCCTTAGAGTTCATTAAGTTTTCAGTTTTCCTACATTTTTCTCATCAGAAATCGGTGGGGAGACAATGGAGTGGAGAGTGGATTATGGTCTTAGGTCTATCATCTATGGACTATGGATTAATGGATATGGATAATGGATTGGAGTTATTGGATCATATGGATATGGATGATGGATTCTCGACATTGGACTAGCCGGCTAGGAATTAATTGGAACCCCCAAATGTTCATGGATAACCGTTTTCAAAAAAAAAAAATAAATAAATAAATAAAATATGTGGGGTCATTTGACCCCACATGACTCCATGTGGGTCCGCCCCTGACCACCAGAACATTCTTCTCAACCAAGCACATCTAGTTCTACCATGGGTCATCCTCACTTTCGTCCAGAATTGGCTGAGTTTTTTGGGTATCTATTTTCTTCCTTCCACTGGCAAATTTAAACTTACGAGAGATTTTCTGCTTTAAAAAAATGAGATTTCATTTTTGCTATTTCAGATTTGGTATTTTACAGCTTGTTGTATTAATCTTCATTGATTAATTTTAATTGTTTTCAAGATGATTAAGTATTGGGTGAATGAATTGAAATTGTTGGAGAATTTTCAAGATGATATGGATAATGAATTCCTGAGTCAATTGTGTTGTAAGTGTCGGGTGGATGAACTGAAATTATTGGAGAGTTTTGCTTCTGGAGGTTACCATTGAAAACCCAATTCCACATCTTGCAAATGAATATATCAACGATTGAACTATTATTTTGGTCCTTAAGCCTCTCTCACCCACCCCACCCCACCCAC